AGAGAAGCAATGGTCATTGCTTGAAAACACTGCAAGGCAATTAATGTGACTTCTGGATAGAAGATAGACAGATGTACAATTGACCACATAAATCTGGGGAAGGAAAGTTGGAGTTTCTTTGTGAATTTACAACTCTCAAAAGCACCCAGTTATACTGGGAAATTCAGAAATCAAAATGATACCAAAGATAGGAGATACACACAAAAAAGCCAAGAAAATCTAAGCTTTCATTTGCTGATTTACAGGCTTGGTGTAAACACAGAAGGAAGGCAGGATTGTGAACAGATTGACAAAACATTGAATTTGTACCCTAGCATAGAGTGAACTTACAGAGATTACGAAAGAGTTTGTTGTTTAGTTGGTTCTTAAAAATTTAGATCTGGTATGCAAGGAAATCGCTACTGAAATACTAGCTGAGAACAGACTAAAGGAAGAGAGCTTTCACTGACTACCCAAGACAATGGAGTATAAACTTTGATGAATACAGTCCTCAGTGACAATCAGCCTTTGGCAAGGTGGATTGACTTTATTTTGAGTTGCCACATTATAATATGCAAATGCCCAGCTCTTACCCAAAAGTCATGCACAGAAAGAGATAATTATGGGTGTTTTATTCAAAGGATAAAATAAATAGAAATTATACTCAAGGGAAGCTAACATTGGACATATTGGGCAAAGATATGAATCATCTGCTTCAAATATGCTTAGACAGCTAAAGGAAAAGACAAACAACTAATGAGAAATGAGATGGTGATCTAAGGACAAAATGAGAGTATCAGTACCAATAGAGAAACTAGAAAAACTAACTAGAAGTTCTCCATCATTGTGTCCATCGCTATGATGCAATACCTGAGAAAAGTCAACTTAAAGCTTTACTTTGGATCGCAGGTTTGGAGGGGTTAGTCTGTGACTGCCTGACCTTTTCACTTTGGACTTGTTGAAAGGTAAAACTTTATGCTAGGCAGCACATGGTGGAGCAGGGCTGCTTACCTTATGCAGCCTGGGAGCAGAGAAAGAGGAAGGTCCCGGAGATAAGATGTGCCTGTCTGGGATGCGTCCCCAGTGACTTCCCCCAACAGCCTCCACTTTCTAGTTTCCACTACCTGTTAAAAATGCACCAAATTAGGAATCTATAGAAGGATTAATCCACTGTTGAGATTAGCACCTTGTGATTCAATCATTTCCAGTAGGACATATCTCTGAACACTGTTGCAATGAAGACCAACTCTTTAAAACATGAGCTTTTGTAGAGCATTTCAGATCCAAACCATAATATACAGTAATCAGAATAAAATATTCATTGGAAGGATTTCATCAGAAGATTTAATTAGGCAGAAAAAAATAACCAGTAAATTTAAAGACTGAGATAGTGCTGTCCTTAGAATAGAAGAAAAAAGGAGCAAGAAAAAATTAATATAAGGGGCTTGCAGAATGCCATAAACTAATGTAATATATATATATATATATATATATATATATATATATATATATATATATAATTGGCATTCAAGAAGGAGATAGAGAAAGGGGCAGAAAGAATATTTGAAGAGCAAATAGCCAAATAGTTACCAAATTGAATAAAATACATGAATCTACAAATCCAAGGAACTAAAAAATATTCCACCAGAATCTATTCAAGTAGTTCTGCACTAGACACATTGTATGGTTTTTGAAAGTCAAAACAATGAGAAAATCTTTACAATAGAGGGAAGCAATGAGCTATGACATCTGAGGGCTCCCAATTAAGATTAGCAGCCAGCTACAGGAAATCATCAGGCAGAGGGATGGCATATTTAAAATGTGGAAGGAAAAGACAGTCAATTATGGATTCTAAATTTGGAAAAAATTAACCTTCAAAAATAAGGGTAAATTTCAGATACTCCCAGATAAAAAAATGCTAAAGGAGTTGTTTACTATTATTATTATTTTGTGTGTGTGGTACCAGTACTCAAACTCACAAATTCATGCTTGCCAGATAGGTGCTGTGCAACTGAGCTGTATCCCCAGTCCTTAAACAAGCTTATTGGTAATAGACCTGTGCCCTAAGAAATACTAACATGAGTGAAATAGAGGACAATAGACAGTAACTTGAAGCTATATGAAGAAATAAAAACCTCTAGGCAACTTTACAGGTAACTACATAGGCAAATACAAAAGCCATCATATTATGAATTTGGTTTATAATTTCACTTTCAATTTCCTACATGATTTTAAACAAAATGCATAAATGTAATTACAAATCTGTTATTGGGCACACACACAGACACTATATATATATATATATATATATATATATATATATATATATATGTTTTTTTTTTTTTTTTTGGTAGTGGGGGTCAAACTCAAGACCTCTTGCTTGCCAGGCAGGCACTTATGCCACTGAGCTAAATCCCCAGCTGGGCACACAATATGTATACATGTAATTTCTGAAAATAATAAAATAAATGGGAAATGATTGATATCAGCACAGAGTTTTTATGTGATATTAAGTTGTTAGTATCAATTATTATTATTAATTAAGGTGTTAATTATAATCCCCTGGTTATCAAAAGAAAATATCTCTAAAAATCTATGAAAAGAAGTGAACAAGGAATCAAACTGCTCCACTGTAAATAGTTGCATAAAACAGACAGCAATGGTGGAAATGAGGGACAAATGGCGTAAGACATGGAGGAAACAAATAGTAACGTTATAGACCTACTTTTGCATCAATAACTCTTCCTTCCTTACATTTAATTATGTGAAATTCTAACAGATTAAACTTTCCACTTCAGATGCAAGATACTGACAAAAATCGATGAAAAACCATGCTCTCTCAAATGTACATTTTCTATAAGAGACTCACTTTAGAAGCAAAACTGCAATAGATTGAAAGAAAGAGGATGGGAAAAGGTACCTCATGGAAACAATGGCCGAAAGAAACTTGGCTACACTAATGACAGATAAAATAGACTTCTATGCATAAATCCACAAACAAAGAAAGGCATTAGACATTGAAAAAAGGCTCAATTGATCAAGAAATAAAAATTAAAAATGTATACATATATAGCCCAAAATACATTGACAGAAATGAAGGGAAAGATATTTCTTTTTTAGTAAGGTACTTTATTTATTTATTATATGCTTGTGATACATAATAATTACATAATAATTACCTTGGAAATTGATATATATATATACATCTCATATCTTGATTAATAATTCTATATTAAAAGCTGGAAACTTCAGTAGTGGTAGAATAACTATAAAGAGGGTCAGTGAAGAAATAGAGGAGCTAAATCACACCAGAAACTAAGTAAACTTGAGACATATAGAGAGTACTTTGTCCAACAACAGGATAAACATTCTTTTCAAGTGTATGTGGAATATTCTTTATTATAGCAAATAGGTTGGACTGTGTAACACGTGGCAGTACATTTAAAAATGTTGAAATCATAAAAGGTACGCTTTCTAACCACAGTGAAATGAAATTAGAAATCAGTAATGGAAATAAAACTAGAAAATTTACATAAGTAGAAGTTAAGCATGTTTAAATATTAAATCGTCAAGGAAGAAATCATAAAGAAGATTAACATGTACTTTGAGGTGAATGAAAATGAAAATCGAGCATACCAAGATTTGTGGGATGCAGTAAAGGCTGTGTTCAAATGAAATTTGTAACTATAAAAGCATACATTAAAAATAATCTGACTTTATTCCTAAAGGTGCGAGAAAAAAGAAAACCTAACCAAACTCAAGATTAGCAGAAATAGAAACAATAAAGATTAGATCAGAGATAAATAAAACACACAACAGGAAACAACAGAAAATTTCAAAGAATCCAAAAGTTGGTTTAAAAGAATCCAGAAGTTGATTCTTTGAAAGTATTAACAAAATTGGCAAGCTATAAGCTACATTTAAAAATAAAAAAGTTGCAAATAACTAAAATTAGAAATGAAACTGGGACATTATTACAGATCTTGTAGAAATAAAAAGGATTATAAAAAGGAATCTTATGATCAATTATCTGTTAACCAATTAGATTATCTAACTGAACAAATTCCTAGAAACACACACACACACACACACACACACACACACACACACACGTGCGCGTGCACAATCAAAACTAATTTGTGAAGAAATAAAAATTTCAAGAGACCTATAACAAGTAAACTGATTGAATCAGGAATATAACAAAGTTTCAAGTCAGATGGCTTCATTGGAGGGTTCTAGAAAACATTTAGTGCTATGCTTATACTAAAAATCATTGAATTATATATTATTATATGGTATAAAATTATATCTCAATAGAGCTGTTTGTATATTTTTAAAAATCACCTGGATTTAAGCACAGCTTGTTAGTGGCAGGTCAGCTCTTCAGCTCTCTTACCACCATCCTGAGCTGCCACCAGGAGCCCCAAATGACTCTGTCAGGTTAGCTCTGTCTTTGGCAAAGACCGATGTGGATGCCTGCTTTGATCCTCTGCATCACTTGCCTGTGCAACAACTTCATAAGTTCACACCTACAAGACAGATTGTACTGTGCATTTTGTGTGGGGCTTCATAGTCCAAGTGGCTGATACTGTAAACAGGAAACCAATTGTAGGAATGAAGATGGTGCTGTGGTTTGGATGAGTATCTCCCAAAGGTTCGTAGGTAAAGACTGGCTTCCTGGAGGTATTAGGAGGTGTTGTAGACCTTTATGAGATGGGGTCTTTTGGGTAATTAGGGTCCCTCCCCCAAAAGGGATGGTGAGGCTCCTGTCTCTTCTATCTCTGCTACCTGACCGCAGCTGTGATTGACCCCTTTGGCACACAAGCTCCTGCCATGCTGTGCTGCCCTCATCCGAGGCCCACATTTGTGGGCTAATTGTGGACTTGGGCTTCTAGAGTGAATCTATCGTTACATGTTAAGAAGCCTGCATCAGGTATTTTGTTAGTGATGGAAAGACGACTAACATAGATGGTTTTGTAACATTGCTCTGTGAAAGTGTCTAATTTTTAAATTCTTTCTAGGCCATGGCCCCCTATTGGGAAAGTGCTTTGAACATCTGTAGGAGAGGCCATGTGTGATGAAATGGAGAAGGACATACATGTCTGGTGAGGTGGCTACATCACTTCTGAAGCTACTTGGATATGAAGCAGATGGACAGGGCACAGAACTCTCTGGGTAAGTAAATTTAAGAAACATTCATGAGTTACTGATAGCAAAGCTGAATTGGTATGAACAGCTTTTCCAAAGTTTGTAGAAACCCTGTTGGCCCAAGCTTGTTTTCAAGTGTGATAAAATGGCCTTAAGATAAATGGCTCTGCGGACTAATAATGGTCGTATAGATGAAGGGCCAGGCTGCTCGATGTGTGGCCACATTTCTACCTGAGGCTCCTTTTAGGAGGAATTCTCACTTGCAGGCCAGATACAGACTTGGGAATTGGAAAGACCTCTTGGGGATGTCTTGCCTCCCCCAACAGGACTCTGCACAAAGAAACTGCCTCTGGTGTTTTTGTGGTGATGGGTTTGGTTGGTTTATTCATCTAAAGCAGAGGAGCCATTATGAGTGTCAGATGATTTTCCTCTAAATAGCTGCTTCTTTGTACCTGTCTCCAACACATTTCCTCTTCCCTCCACCATTACTCTGCAGGCAGCTGCTGTGTTCTCCTGACCTTAGTTCAGTGGTCCGTTGCTTATTTTATCTCCCCAAACAAAACAAATTCTCTCCATTTTATCCTACTTCCTACCAGATAGAATCTTTTGTTTTCACTTGCTGCCTTGTCAGCTTCCAAGAATTTTTTTATGTCTTAGGACCTGTGGAGACACCAGGGTTCAGTGGTCTGCACCCGGCTCCAGCCCAAGGTCAAGGATTCCCTCCTTTTCCTTCCCTGTATTGTCTGGCATCCTGCGGAGCTGCTGTCCCAGGCCACACCACCAGGACAGTGCCGCCTGGTACAGACCCCTCCTGCGGCCACGGGCGCCACCAAGCCCTGGACACACCTCACCACTGCCGGAGGTGCCTGGGCCCTGAGGAGGATGAGACAGGCAGGCGTGGACAGTGGATTTCTTTCCCTCTTTGGCTCTCTGCCCTGGTCTGGCAGCGGCAGGCTACACTCATCAGAAGGGGTGGCCTCATGCACGGGAGCAGCACCGTGTCTTCCGGCAGACCACAGAGTACCTTCTAGGTAGTAGACTGTACCAGCACATCAGGGGTTGCTGATTCAGAGAGTATTAGTTTAGGACAGTGAGGAATTATCACAATGCCTTTTCAAACAAAAAAGAATTCTCTCTCACAATCTTCCCAGACTGAGTTTTCATCTTAACCATAGACTTAGTCATGTTATGTTGCTTAAAAGTCCTCCTTGGCTTCCATCACCTCAGCTAACCCCCCACACAGGTGCTGCCTCCTGCCCATGGCTCTGTTTCTTTGAAAACCCTTATTGACCCTGTGATGTTCATGTTCACTCCATCAGGTCTCCAATGGCCAGTGTCTTCTGTCAGACTCCTTCCAGTTTTCTAGAAGTCAGCATTAGTGATGACACAGCACTTGTCACAGGGCACTGTGAACCATTGCATCCCTATCTTTCCCTTCAGTTTATGGAGGCATAGACTTCAGCTCAGCATGTGTTGGGTTCATGGCAGGTCATCAAAAACATGAGTTTGTTAGAGGTCTGTAAGATGAAAACTGAAAGGCCTTCAATTTCATCCAGTGCACGTTCTTTGAACAGGCAGTGGAGTAATATAAAGATGAATGAGAGGCTGTGCCTGAGCAAAAAACAAAGGCTAAGTGATCACTCCAGTTACCAACCAAGAACAGCAGGGGCAGCTGATAGCATCTCAGTTGTCAGACTGGTTGCTGCTTTTGAATAAGGAGGACTGATGAGATGCCTACTGGGGTATAACACAGAGAGAGAAAGAGACAGAGAGACAGACAGGGAGAGAGAGAGACAGTGAGAGAGAGACGGAAAGAGACAAGAGAGAGACAGAGGGAGTGAGAGAGAAACAGAGAGACAGAGAGACACAGAGAGAGAGAAACAGAGAAACAGAGAGAGAAAGAGAGAGAGAGAGAGAGAGAGAGAGAGAGAGAGAGAGAGAGAGAGAGAGAGAGAGAGAGGATCCTGATATCCAAATTACACCTAATTAGCTAAGGTCTCTTTCAGATTGCAACAGTCTTTTAAGAGGATTATCTCTGTCATTTCTATTGTGGGTGCATGACTTTGCTCAGATAGTCAAACTGCATTTTATCTGAGACAGTTTAAATCAGTTAGGCTGAAAGTAATTCAAGAGCTAACGGCATTTTATGGGAAGAAAACTTAAGAAAACACATTGCCCATTGCCCTTATTCAAATCCCCCTCTTTAGAGGTGCAGTGACTTAAATGTGGTCCTGGCTGGGCAGAGAGTCAGGATGGACACTGTCCCACCCTAAGTATAACGTTGATAACAGCGGGTAGTTGGATTATTAAAAATGCATGTTTCTCCAATGTGTTCCACAGAATGCCAGCCTCTGTAGAAAGTTTCTAGATATTTCATAGGGAAAAGATGCTTGGAGTCCAAATATATTTTAGGAATGCTGAACAGGTTTCTTTCTTGAAGAATCTCTACAGTGGTTATGGAGGATGCCCCATTTCCAGACTCATAAAAATCATGACAGAGCACACATTTTGGAAATATTGATGTGTTTAAAAGAAAAGAGACTTTGCAGTCAGTAGATGTGAATGAATTTCTCCAAACAGCATCAATCTGAGCTAGGAAATGAGAGTAGAGCTCTGCCACTGTCACAGGCTGTGTGACGGTGTCTAGAGATTAGGGAAAGATCGGCCCCCAAAGGTAGTTCCTGATTCACACGCAATCACTTTGTTCCTACTTCGAGTAATAAACCTCTGTAGTCAGATTGAAGTTTTCCCTAGATATGTGAAGGGAATCTAGTACCCACATGGATTCCAAAATCCAAGAATGCTCAAATTCCTTACCTAACAACATTTGCATTGAACCCACACATATTCTCCTGTATACTTTGACTCACCTCTAAATTATAATATCTAACATACTGTAAGTGCTATGTAAAATCTGTTATACTGTATTTTAAAAGCTGTTGTGCTGTACTATTTAGGGACCATTGACAAGAAAAAGTGTACATGTTCATAACAGATGCAATTTTTCCCCGGTGTTTTCTACCTGCAATGATTATACATGCAGGTGGAAGCCTGCAGGCATAGAAACAGGCTATGTTTACTTATGTGCCTACTACCTCTTCAAAAGAATACACAGTTGTCAAGGAACCTCAGCTGTGGAATGAGGGGAAATTACCAAAGAGGCAGGAGAATGAATGGGAATTACCAGAGAGGCAAGGAATACGTAAAATGTGAAATCACCTGCTTGCCTCCTGACATCATGACTGTGTTTGCTTAGAAAGTGCCCAAAGGTTGGGAGTGGTGTGATAACAGGGCAAACTTGACTCTTCATTTATCCAATCAATCTCCATGGGGTTTTTGCTGAGTTGCAGGCACTGCTTAGAAGACATTAAAATATTACAGTGGAAAAAACTGACACAATCTTTGTCTTCACTGGATTACTGAGTGTGTGCATGACAGGCTCACCAAATAAGCAAAACTGGCAGATTTTCTGTGAAAGGTCAGACAGCCAAGACTTCAGGGGTGGTGGACCCTGGTCTCTGTCATAGTTACCCATCTCTACTGTTACAGTGCGCAAAGAGTTACACGACACACAAAGGCAAGTGCGTGAGTGTTCCAAGAAAACCTTATTACAAAAATGGATGATGGAACCAGTTTTGATTGTGGGCGTTGGTTTGTCAAACCCTGGCGAAAACTGTAAATAGACCATTGCAACGCACTACTATATCAGGAAAAGATGTGTGGCATTGTCAAAGGATGTGGAAAGGAACTCAGTGTATGACTTGAGATTTGAAAGATAAGAAGAAATTAGGCGAACAGAGGAGAAGGCAGCGTGGTTGGTAGATGGAGAGGATGAGGAATACAGTGTGAGGTGGAGCTGATGAGGTAGGGCCGATAGTACTGTTTGGTGAGGCTCAGAACTTTTATCATGCTCCAGAATAACAGAGTTACATGTGTGTAGTTATGGCTTTGGAGTCACCCTGCTGGGCATGTCCTGGAGGATGGATTGGTGGTGAGGGACCATACTGTAGTGGTTCTGAAGAAGATGAAAGAAGCAAACAAAATGGCTATTAAGTTGGAAGAAAGCAAAAATTCAAGCAATTCCTCATGAGTAAAATCAAGGTATTTCATGCTGGATTTAAATATGGGGCTATAGATGGGTCCAGAGGGACTCCTGGGTGTCTGACTTGCTTGATTGTATAGCTCTATTGTTTCTGAGACAGAAAACAGGAAAAGGAGATATCTTAGCCTTTTAGGATATTATAAAATACAAAAGACTTACTAATTTATGAACAGAAATTTATTTCTGTTATTTCTGAAGGCTGAGGGGATTAAGATCAAAGCACAACAGGTCCCATGTCTTGTAGTGACCTCTTCTTTCTGTGTCCTCACATAGCAGAAAGGCCAAGTAGACTCCCTCAGGGCTCCTTTATCAGGGCACTAATCCTATTCATGGGGGCTCCACCCGCATGATCTAATTTCCTCCCAAAAGCTACATGTCCTAAAACCATCATATTAGAGGCGCGAATTTCAGATTAATTTGAGGAGACACAAATACTCAGTTTAAGACCTTCCATCCCAGCTCCCCAAATTTGGCTTCAGACATAAAATAATTTCATTCCATTCCAACAACCCCCTGTCTTAACTCATTTGAACTTCAACTTTAAATTCTAACCCTATCTCAACTAAGTGTCATCTAAATCTGACATGTGTGATTCATTTTAAGGCAATGTCCCCTCAGGTATACATGAATCTGTAAAGTAAAACAAGGTATGTGTTCTCAAAATACAGTGGTAAGACAAGCTGAAGATAAAAAATCTCTTTCCAAGAGGAAGAAATCGGCAAGAAGGAAAGGGTTAACAGGTCCCAAGCATTATAAAAATCCAACAAGGCAAACTATAAAGCCAAGGCTTGAGAAGACAAGGGGTGAGTTCTATCAGGGGACAGAGTCTGCAGAGGGAGAACTGGAGTTGGAGCTCTCTTTGTACAAATCACTAGGTCATCGAAGGGGACACTGCAGTGTAGAGGACACCACAGTACTAGGAAAC